GCACAAATGTTTGCCAGCACAAGTTTTTGGCAAATGCACATCTTTCTTTTCCCATTATATTTATTTATGAAATTTCAAAAGAAAATTCTTCGCTCAGGAGCACATGAATGCATTACACAATAATAGAAAATAGGTATGTTTGTGTTGAGAGACTGTATAGCAGAAACAAAACACATACTCGAGAAAATCCTTCCAAATCTTGTCTGGCTTGAAACCGTAAACCTTTCCAGCAATAAACCTGTCAAACAACTGTTGCTCTTGGAACCACCAAACATATTCAAAAGAAAAATGAAATGCTGTTTCTGACGTCAGGTCACATATGCGAACCCAAATATTACATTCTTGAATTCGGTGTCCATGAATTGAGGACCACTGAGCCATTGATAAAAGCTACAGGCCTTTCCGTTTCCATTTAAGGTGATTAGAACCATCCCTATCTTTGTGCGGGACAAGACTACGTCAACAAAATTTTGTTATCTACAGATAGAAGTTCACATCAGCATTGTGTCAGGACGATCATGAGCTAAGCCCTGAGTTTTAATAGTTGGAAACAGATGCCTGCTTCCATATTTCCTTCGAAGATGGAACATGTAGGCACAATGACGCATTAAATTCCTATATCAATCCTCACACAAATCAGCAAATATGAGAAGGGTGAATTTCTATGGCATCTACCAAAATGATGATAACACCAATGTTTTTTTTGTCCATTCATTCTAGCAGAACTTATTCAGAGAATGCTTTGCTTTGGCTCCATGGAGAGCTGAGCGCAATATGCTTTAAATAAGGATGACTTATGATGTGATGCATATTAACTTACTGGGAGTGCTACCTCGATCAACTTTTAGTATGACAAACGCTCGAGAAATAATTGCGTTGGGATTTGAACTTACACGATTACTTTTGTGGTGATACTCCTCCTCAATTCCGGCAGATGTGTCCATCTGCAAGTTTACGTTAACCCAGTATTAGAAGGCACTCCTGATAAGTTATCGCAGTTACAAAAGGATGAATGAACCATAGGTGCAAAGTAACTATGAAAGAAAAAGTAAAGAGCTTACATCTTCCGCAAGTGGCTTCCAATATTCTCTAACTGATGGTGTGCGGACTCGGTCAGGATCAGTCAAAGCAGTCTGCAGTTTCAATTCAAATAAGATGTGGGTTTCCAAAAATTGAACAGAAGAAAAATGTGACTAAGGGCACATATAGGGAATTGGATGATTCTTTTTTATGAATACTCTGTAGGTCAGTCAACTAATGACTCATTAACTTGCAGAAAAATTGTACAAAATCCCTGCCCTAATTGAGTGTCCCCACTCAGACTCTTTTAACATTTTTATATAGAAGTAAAATTGGACAGTAAAACAAAAAAAAGGCCTAACTGACGCATTTTTTGTGCCTAATGCATTGTTGCTCCTTGAAATAGGATAATAATTCCCTTTGCAGCCCGCTTCCCCGGCCTCTTCTCTATCTCCGTCGATCCCCTGATTTCTGTTGATAGGGCCCTTCTTGACTTAGGGCGCCTTGCTTTCCGACGGCCTTTTGGTCCCTTGGAATCCGCCGCCTGGCGTGAGTTGCTTGACTGTGTTGCTCTCCATGAGCCAAGGGTGGATGGTGGCCCAGACCTGGTGCGCTGGCGCCTTGAGCCGTCGGGTCAATTCTCCACCAAGTCGCTATACCTGGCCATTGCCCCATCCTCCGCCCCCTTCCCCTCTCGATGGTGTGGTCCATCCGCGTACCCCTGAAGATTCGTATCTTCATGTGGCAATGGATTCGCGGTCGGGTCCCGTCCGGGGTGGAGGTTCGCAAGCGAAATGGCCCGGGTACTGGCATCTGTCCGCTCTGTGGGGTCCCCGAAGACTCGAACCACATTTTCTTCTCCTGCGTATCCGGCCAGTTCCTTTGGAGCTGCTTTCGCGAAGCTGTCGGTGGAAATTGGTGCCACACCAATTTCCCGGACCTATTTGCCGAACTCCAGTTGTCCCCCGTGACTTCTCGCCACATTAGGTGGCTTGAGATTGAGGTTCTCGCCTGGACCCTCTGGACTGTTCGCAATAAGCTTGTGATTCAGCGCACCCCTCTTCGGCGAGCTACTGACGCTCTTTTCAAACTCTCGGGTTTCTTGCAGCTTTGGCGGCCGCTTAGCCGCCCCCGGACCGCGACGCCATCTCAGCCTTCATCACCGACCTCCGCTCGATGGCCGTCTGCCTGTCACCGCTGCCTCCTCCGCCTCCGCCGGAACCAGACTAGATGCTTCCTTCGTCCGGCGTGTTCTGTTTTTTGTTTTTCTGGGCTTGTTGAGCTGTGCCCTCAGCAGAACCTATGTATTTTGTCGTGAGACTTGGGTGTGTGTGTGTGGACTTGACTCTGTATGTGTGCTCTGTGGCGGTTTGCTTTATATATAAAGCGGGGCGAAAGCCTTTTTCGGTAATAGGATAATAACGGGAAGTTCTAGCTAAAACATACAGGGTTTAGTTCTGCCCATTTCCACAGTTGGGCAAGTTCTTTGTTTCCCAACCTCCACCTTGGGTTACTGCAACGAAGGAAAACAGAATATGAAATAATTAGAGAGCAGTAGAGCATGACATAATTATATCACCAATCTGTACAGTATTACCATTGCCCTAAATTCTCTTTTTATCACAAAATAAGACTATTAAAATTGGAATTGGGGCTGGACTTTCTGGTTAAAAAAATCGTACTACAAATACTGGTACAGTAAATGGGAGGTGCGTAAGGTCAAAGAATGTATGCACCATTTCCGAAATAAATTTGTGTAATTTACACTTTTCCTAGACAAATCTAGAACATGAAATTACAATGAGAAAATCGAAATCGATGTCAGTATCTATTCCAACATGAACTTCATGCATATATAACAACCCATCTAACTACATTAATCAACATGAATAAGATCCGACTTGATATTCATGTTGATTCCCTGCTTCTCCCTTAATCAGAAGTGAATAATACAAAGTTCCAAATAACTGCAACAGATTCCAAAACTCACAACAGATTATTAATTCCTGCGCGAAAAAATAACGATATTGGACTAGTGTGGAACAAGCTAGACATAAAACTCCATATGTTTGCTTCACAATAATTCACAGAAAGGTGTTTGCCGCTACATGTACCCAGTCACACCAGGCTCTGAACGAATTAACAAGCAGTACATGATTAGCAACAAAAGTACTTAACCGGATATATAATTGATCAACAACAACATGATCAATACTTGCAGGTCTTTGGTTAATAATCAAATCGTTTTGTCTTTCAAACAGTTACACAGTGTATGGGTTGTTGCTGGTTGTGTGAAAAAGAGTTGTACTGAATATTTCCGTTAAGTGATTAATGGAAAGGGATGAGAGCCCGATTGGAAAAAAAGAAGTTATACAGTGTATGTTTAAATGAGATTTCAATGTCTGAAGAAAGCAAGTAGCATACCGTTTCCTGACTCCAGCTTGACCCGACTTCTTTTCAAAAGTTTGTTTTTCAAATGCTGGACATCCATCTCTCTTCCACCAAACCTTTTCAAAAGACAGCCAGAGGAACGAGAACTGGTGACAATTCCCATATTAAAAGTATAAGAGTGGTACAATGCAGCAAAATGGTACCCAGTTTCTCTCCCGCTCAACAATATGCTCAATGCTTCGTAGGAATTCCCTCCCTTTCTGTGGAATCATCTCCAGGAGGTTCTTAACACGCTCTTCACAGGATTTGATTTCCTCTTTCTGGTCAAAGAGGAAATGAGATGAGAGATTATCTAATACACAGATTTAACTCATAACTGAATGATGGTTCAAGAAGTCTCTCAAAGGAACCAAAGGATGACAAAGACAATCAGAATCCCTGATTTACTATACTACTACCACTATGCCCCAGTTTATTGAATCAGGCAGTCAAGGTTGGCCCAGTTATATTTGTTGACATGTGGTACTAATTAGTGACTTTCATGCTAGCACACCTTACAGTATGGAACACCTTATTTTAAACAAAAATGATTATATTTGCACTTATGCAATAAACATTTATCTGTACTTGGAGGCAGAATTAAACATTGTAAATATATATATAATAGGTCATAACAATTTGTCCTACCAACATAGGTAACCTATAGGGGTATAAATATCTGCACTGCGGAGTCATACACCCATGAAAAAAGGATTTTATAGAACGCACATAGCTGTTGAAGATGTCACGATATTTTAACAACGGCCATGTAGAGAGACATGAATATACTAAAGCGTTGACAATTACTGAATTAAATTGTTCCAGATGTTCATGCCTATGGTATTTGAGTTATAACTTAGAAGAAATACGTAATAATTCTACATGGGGAATAAACAGTCAAGTTATTTTATTGCTTACCATGCTCTCGGATGGACCTTCCTTGTCACTCTTTCCAGGCGCCTGAGAACATAATAATTTTAGTAGTCCACGCCTCACAGATAGTAGAAGGTTAAGTAATGGCAAGAAACTGAGCTGAAATAAGGAAAAAATGGGGTGTTTGTTGTCTATGATGTTTGGAAGATTTTGCAAGTATCTTCCAGTTCACACTTCACTACCCCACAAACAAGTAACCTTGATACAAGTCTTCATTAGTTTATAACTTTCCTTCCAACTATTGCTACTGCATGGGTCATGTATTAAGGCACAGGCAACAGCTGCAACTGTAAGTGACAGTAATGTTTTACCAACTATGGTTATAGTTACCCTTAGCTTGGTACGTGAGAAATTTAGTTATTGCGTCGCCTTCTCAACAGATAGTGTCATTCAAAACAGTGAGAAGCTGGCCAGTGCGGAACACGGGCAGATGAGACTTGTATGGAAGAGAGAAAGCGGAGAAAGAAGTAACTTGTTGTAATGCCAAATGTGGCGAACGTGCAGTCACATAGCACATTCTGCAAAATAAATAAGGTCTAGTACACTTGATTTGGACAGAGGACAAGCTATATGCGTATAAATAAACAAAACCAGGATGCAACGAATTCATCAGAAATTTAGAGGGGAAGTGCTATTTTTTTTTGCCTCTGCAGTTATTCGGAGTACAAAAACATGTTGCTTATCACGAAAAGAACAGATAAAGAGAAACCCCTGAATGTTTGACAAAATTTGAACAAGAATGTACGATAGGCACAAACTGATGTTGCAGTGCCAACTAAATTCCAAATTTGTGTACCTTCAGACAATCAAAAAATATAAGGCATTGGACAAGGATGTGGCATCGAAAACTTGCGTCCTTCAACTGCAAATAATGAATGTTATATGGCTATACGATAATAATGAACACTCAACAAAAAAACTAATGTCAGATGCTTAACAAATTACCTCCAAAGCCATCAATTTACTGCTAGTAAGGTACTTAATATTGGAAGCAGCATCCCCCTCCTGCTCAGTATTGTTATGCTTTCCATCAGCACTACAGAGAGTCTGAGATTCAAATGTGCTTAACACGACCTGAGATTCAGTTATTAGTTAACATCAATCAGAAGTCCAGACCAAACACATTGAACTAGAAAAAGGAAAAAAAATGCATGTCAAATGAAGGAGTGTACCATTAAATTAGAAGCAAACTTTTGCCATTTTGTTGGGTTTGTAGTAGTCGAAGCTGGGTTCCTGAAATGCTCCTAGAATGAAAATACGACCCAAAGTTGAGCATCAAAACAACCTGGTGTTGAGAAATTAACAGACATTCGGGAGGTATAATGATGATTGTCAATCCCAGAGATTAACAAAGTACAATATATCAACCTGAAGACTCCACAAGGTCTGGTAGAAGTTGAAGTCAACAGAAATTCCTGGCATACAAAGGTGCATTAGGGAATGCTAGCATTTGCAGGAGACTTGCAGGAAGATAGGAAATACAGGGTAAATTTGCAAAGTAACCTTAAAAACTATGAATAACATAGGAGTGATATTTTTATCAGGATAACTGTACTAACCGGCGGTGGGATCTTTCTCATACTTAGTTTCATTTGATATGTTGAAAACTCCCTTGATGTTGAGAGCTGATGAAGAAAAATAGAAAAAGGAAAATGAGTAGTGACAGTTATAATTCCTTGCCAGTAAGGGGGGCTCCAAACTAGCTAGAATGGTGGAAGATGTAATATGCAAACCTGAACGCTCTGACAACGGGAAGAAATGTGCCAGAAACATGATAATTCGTCCACGGAAGACCACATCGTTTGACTGAAATTTCAAAGTATAAGATATATGAATAGTAGTACAGAGCACAAACTTTATACCAGGCGAAACTCCAAGAAAATAAAAGGAGTACCCTTCAGAAGCTAGCTGAAGTTAAACTTCAAAACTATTTCACTGACAAAACCAATAGCAGATTATCACACAATAAAGGTGACATTAGCAAAGCTTTTACTGAACACACTTTTCAATTTGGCAGTAGATACAACCACCCACCAGTCTCAATTTAATCACTAGTATACTTACTTACGAAGCCTTTGATCCCAAACAAGTTGGGGTAGGCTAGATATGAAACCCTTTCACGAGGACTTCCCAGGAGGTCACCCATCCTAGTACTACTCTCGCCCAAATGGGTTTCATACCCAAAAGACTGGCTAGTTTTTACATTGGCTCGCCAAGCCTATCACAACCCTTAGATATGAAACTCTTTCACAAGGACTTCCCAGGAGGTCACCCATCCTAGTACTACTCTCGCTCAGATCGGTTTCATACCTATGGGACTGGCTAGTTTTTACGTTGGCTCGTCAAGCCTATCACAACCCTCCTCCTTTACCCGGGCTTGGGACCGGCTATGCCTAGAAGACATAGGCGGAGTTAATTTAGCATAAAGATTACGCACAACGAAATAACCAGATCAAACCTTTGAAAGTCTTTGGAGTAATTGGTTGCATGTCCTCAGCATAACCAACTTGCCACGCCGAAATAATTCTTGCTAGAAATAACCCAAAATGACAATCCATTTAGAAAACTATGAACATACATCATGTGTGCCATAGCAGCAGCACAGACCATTAAAAATGAGTACAATCTGCAAATTAACTATTACCTTCCCCAAGACATCCTGTTTGCTCTCGATATACCCAAAGACATGTTTGCAATCTTTGATAGTTGACATGTCCGTCAGATCTTCTAAGAGCTGGAATACCATACCAGCCTCAACATGTCCTCTTTCACAAAGGTAAAGCATCATATCTGACAGAACAAGCAAAACTTAATTCATCAGATTAAAAATAAACACTGCACAAGCTCTAACGAGTGGTCAGAAGCCAATGTTGGGAATAGAAATATTTGACCAAGATTGATGAAAGAATTGTGACTGACCAAGAAGGCGTGTTATCATGCAACTACTTTCTCCGCTATCCACTGAGTTTCCACATTGCATGACTCCTTTACCAGATTGAACTGCAGATGACTAGAGTATAAATAATTATAAGACAGAATCAGCAGTCAAGATTAGTCTCTAGGATTGTATGATGAGCAAATAAGAAGTACATCAATTCCTCTCACTGGGGTAGCTAGCCGTCAGTTATCGACCAAAATGTAGAAACGTTTAGTGGGCCGTACGTGCATATTTGACGAAAACCGTTAGTTACATAGTGTTATGTTCCAACACTGAGGCTATGACCCAGAAAATGATAAATGTGCACATCACTTTGGAACAAATATTAGTGTGGCCACGTCTGCGTTAAAGAAGCTTACGACAAGTTCCTGCAGCAGCCTCCGGAGAGCATTCTCCAAGTACTGGTTCTCCTCTAGAACCAGCACCGTTTGCTTCTGCCAGATTTGATCAGATGAGAAACCGGCTTAAAACACATGAATGCTAGCTTTTGTAACACAACAACATAACTCAATGATTACCAAATGCAGCGAAGCAAAAAGGAATGGCTAGTCTATTATCAACTCATCAGCTACCAAAAGGGCCGCAGGCGGAGAATGTCTCATTGCGTGTTAAGTATACCTGAGGCTTGATTGCTTCCTGGAGCGCCTGGAGGGCGAAAGCTTCCGGGGATTCGGCCCTGCACAGCGCGCTCCGGAACACTCCCTGCGACCGAACCAAGCAGACAGCTCGAATTTACGGCGGCGTGGAGAAACGTTCGTGCCCGAGTTGGCAGCACTTCCTTCTGCCGCGGCGGGCTAGTGTAGGGGAGTGAGGAGGGTGGAGAAAGGGCTCACGATGATGCGGTCGCGGTCGGCGTGGCTGGAGACGGCTGCGAGCGGGGACGGGGACGGGGCGGGCGGTCGGTCCTTGGTGAGGCGTGTACGGAGGCCCGAATTGGACGGCGGCGGCGAGGGCGAGGGCGACGCCATGGTGGAGGAGGGGGCTCACTGGATCACCACCGCGGGCAGGGCGCAAGGACGGGGATTGGGGAAGGGGGCACCATTTCCGGCGGTATATGCAGAATTGCACGGCCAACATGGGCCGGTGGCCCGGTGCGGTAGGAAATGCCGAGCTCTCTAACAATTACTAGAGCCTTACATATACTTAGACTATTTTTGAAAAATCCAAACAGTAATTGAGAAAAATTGAATAGTTTGTATGGGTCCAAATATATGTGAGAGATATTTTCCCTAAGACCGTAACAAATTACAAACCATAATATAGAAGGACCATAAGTTGAATTTTATCACATATAACTTAGCTTTTTGGATCTAACTCCTAATAAACAGGATAGATCAACTGTACAATATTCGAACTGACTCAAGCGCAGCTTTAATCCTCAAAGTGTTAATACAGTGCAACAAGCTTTCTTAACCAAACTAAACCCTAAATCTTGAAAAAGGAACACAACATTGCTAACATGGGCACTCACCCTGCGCTCCACGTGCCATGTAATACTTTTAGGAGCATTGTAGGCTAAACAACATGAAAATTGACTTTCATAAATTAATAGTGAATATGGACTCTCGAGAAAGGGCAATTTTTTTTCCAGAAATAAATCGGGCGCCATAATATGTTCGAGAATAACATGCCAAAATCTGAAAACAGAAATTACAATAGGCAACCAAATGTGTTTTAGTCACAAGTGTAAACAAAGAGTGAACTTCTCATTTACTAGAGACCGGTTGACAAAACAAGATGTTATTCCTAATAGCATGGCACAAATCTACTATTAGCATGGTGATGAAGAAACTAAATGGTCAGCTCACTTGATTAGCACTTGAACCACATAATAATCATGCCAAGATGAATTTATTTATTTTGACCAGGTGCCAAGATGAATTAAGTTAGACACAAATACCACAGAACCGGAATCAATGTCATGCTCACTTGGACAAATTCAAGGTTCTTTGTACATATGCATATTCAGAATTTCAGTACCAATTCTTGGCCTTCCTTAGAAGGATCTTCTTACATGGGAATTGAAACCGGACACACTAAGACATAAAAACAAAAATTTGAAGTTTGTCAAAGAGCATGCAGAACACCAAGGAACAATTAGAAGAAGGAACAAACAGAAGGAGAGAGGGTTGGACTCTGTTCCTGGGTCCGCATCACTGGGAAGAGCAAAGGCAAGGAGAAGGCACGCGAGAAAGCATGTATCTAGCGGCTCCATCGCCACCAAACCATCCAGGTAGTTTGCATCTAGCGACAGCCGGCGGTGAAAGCCGACGGCGCGGGTGGCCGCCGCAGTCGCCATTAAATACACGAACAATGCAGGACAAAAAATTTTAAAACAGAAAGGAAGGGGCTATGGA